GGATGATTTTCTGAATCCAGGGGTAAAAAGGGAATTTTTGGAAAGTTATGGGAGGTTGTTAATGTTAAAAATTAACCTATTAAACCCCTAAAATAGTTAGTTAGAATGGTGTGCTCATTGTAGGAGACATCATGAAATACAAACAGTTAATGGGCATGCTGTCAAGGATAGGGAATGGTTAAATTGCTAGGCTGTTCTAGCAAATTAAAATGGACCAGTATGAAAATGTTTTTTTTGGATTCTATATATATGACTGATATATCATATCTGAGTCCCAAGAATGCTGGTAAATGATGCTAATCGACTTCATGAAATTAAATAAAGATATGCATGTTGTCACGGAATATGGAAGTTTATTTGCTAATGGTTATTTTAGCTAGTTAAACAGACCGCTAGGAATGTATTTAGGATTGGAGTGTATGTGCTCAGTTTATATTTTTGATTATCATTATAGCCTGCTGTGGATTCATAATGGAGGATTAAATGGACATTATTAAATTTATATAATGATATGCATGATGTTAAAGATTGTGGAAGGTTTAAATTGCTAGTCTGGTTTAGTAAATTTAATGGACTAGTAGGAAAGGATTTATTTGGAATTTTGGGGATAATGTGCTCAGTTGTTACTTCTGATTGCCATTATAACATGCTATGGATGTAAATTGATGAACTATTATATTATCTGTTTTGTCAATTGGATGGATATGGATAGTTTAAATTGTCTATCAATACTTTAGCAATTTAAATGGATGTTTCGTGATTTTAATCATGTACTGTATGTATAATAGAATCTTGCTTATATCTGATTGCTATTATATCGTGATTCTAATGAATGTGCATCATTTGTAGATCATTTGCATTATATGCACCGGTATGGGACGGTGACATATCAGGGATGAATTAGATAAAAAAGCTAAGTCCTACCCCTTCATACATATGGAATGGATTAACTAAAATAGTTAACTCCTACATAGATGCATGCCCTGTCAACTAAAATAGTTGAACGACATAACGGATGGTTCCTTTACTTTTCTGTATTAGAAAGGATTTAAATATATATTTATGGTGTCGTGATACGAGCTTGAGTCTCCTGATCACGGTTAGGGTGCGTATATCACCTAGGATTGTTAACTAGGCCTGATGATGTTTCCCTGGTTGTTCTACTCGGGTTGAGACGGATTATGTGGGCTGGTGAGCATCCTATAGTGTGTACTTATATCTATATGGACTACTTTACCTATTGTTGAGCTATCTAGGATGTATCTGCGTATCGGGTTTATGTATGGATTGTAGTAGTATGGAATTTGCATGTGGGTCTGACCCACCCTTATTTTTCAGGTGATCGTCAGTACCAGACTTAGAGTTTGATCATGGTGATGCAGATATAGTCATTCACTCTTCCGACTAAATAGGATTTTCTTTTTGATTTTAGCTTTGGATTTTGATTCTGTAAAGTTTTATCATTTGGGATTATTAGGGGTCCACTAGTTGGATTCCCGAGTTGTATGGATTGGAAAGTTTAAATAATATTGAACTTTTATCAATGGAGGACTTTTATATTAGAATTCTTTTTAGCTTAATATTTATTTCTTAATTCTTTGTCATTAATGTTTGTTTTAAAATATTAATTGCTTGGTATCTCTCGGATCTGTGCCCAGACTTGATCACCCGTGGCTCTAGAATCGAGGGGTATCTCACCGAATGCTTAATTTAGCTTCAGTATTTTTTAAAAAAAAATGAAAAGTAGAAACAGTTAAGCGGATAAGAAGGAATCTTGCTTTGTACTGCTTTTGGAATAGTGATCTGTAGGCTACTTTCACTGTTGATGAATAGTTTGTCGGTTACTTTTCACTATTGATGAATAGTAGATGTGACATCGCATCTTATCGTGTGCTGGATTATTCTGCAGTCGATCAATAAAAGGCGCATGTCAGGGTGTTATCCTTCCACAACATTGATGAAATTATGGAGTTCATATTCATCTAGAGGAGGACTGCTAACTGGACTCTGTCCAAAAGTAGCGTCCCAGTCGATGTTTGCCTGTTCTGCTCCAAATAGGATTTCTTCTGGAGCTTGCAATGTGTTGCACTGAATTGTTTTTAGGAATTTAGTAGCTTCGATTAAATGTTCCATTGAATATGTTGGGTAGTTCATAGGCAGCGTTGTGACGCATAGTCTTCTTCCATCACAGATCTTTTTAAATGGCGGTTCTAAAGAATCATCTTGTAGAACTCAACGAGCTTTGTCTTAGAGGTGGATAAGACTGTTGATGGCTATATCAAAGGGGTTAATCCTTTCTGCGATCTGTTGAGAATTCAAAACTTGGTGATGTTCGAATTCGCTGTCTTCTGTAAGTTTGAGAAGCCAGATTTAATAAGGCTAAAAAAATTTTGTTTTTTCTCGCCATCCAAGAGTACTAGAAATCCAGAAAGTCAAATTGCGGCTGAATTTCCAGTGAGCTGTTGTTTTGTATATCATGGCTTTGATCATGATAGGGAAAGCATTCCATGACATACAATCATGTGAGAATAATGTAATTTTGTTAATTACTCCCCAATTGATAGGTTCCATTGACCATTCAAAACCGGGTACAATGAAAAGAGTCATTTTTGGAATCTTTTTATTGTTGTAAATCACATCAAAATGGTTTATCTCTTCATGATTTTCTAGATAAAAATGTTTTATTGTTGTAGATTGATCAACTATTTTGTAGAGGATTATTCTAAACAATTCAGGAGGACACATGTTTCTTGCTTTTTCTAGAAGACAAATGCGGTTGATTTTTGCAAAAGTATTTTTTGGAAAATCATGTTCTCCAACTAACTGGGCAAGTTTAAGAAAACAATTTATTTGAGTTAAAAAAAAAAAAAAAAAATTCCCATCAACTGTGAGACAAATCTGAACGCAAAGCTTTTTGAGCTCTTCGGTCATGACCGTTTGTTCAGCGATATGAGAAGTAAGAGCACTCAGGTATTGCCTGAATTTCTTATTGCATTCGAGTTGATGCATTTTCCATACACCATTAATTTCATCATAAAGGTGGTGTGGAAGACCAGGATTGTAAAAGTCTTTTACTTCTACGGCTTCCTGTCTTTTTGCAAAGTCAGCAAAAAAATTTTGTAAAGCTTTACCGCATTGTAGAAAACTTGTTGAGCTTCTTCAAGTGTGTCGCAAGCTTTAAAGCATGATCCAAAATTTTTTTTTAACTGGGCTTGGCAGTTGTGCCTTTCTGGATAGATCCCTGGTTGGAATCTTGCATAGACCACGAACCATTTTTGTGGTTGTGAAGATGTTGGAACAGGTTGTTTAGTCGCCTTTTTAGCGATTATAATCTAACCATTTTCTTGCAGATTTTCTAAGCAGAAATTATATCAAAGTATCTAACCAAGATATTTCTTTTTCCTCAGATGAGCGACCGAGGTAAACAGCCGAACAACATTGCTGCGACAAGATTCTACAGGAAACCTGGAAAATCTGTTGTGCACTAAGCAAATCCTATTTGGAGCATAACAGGCAAACATCGACTGGAACGCTACTTTCGGACAGAGTCCAATTTTTCAAAAAAGTCGTGTCCATATCAGAAATCTACACTTCACAAACACTTTTAAGACAGGTTTTTGACACTTCATAATTTAAAAATAAATTTCATTATTTTGGATACTTAATTGACACATCTCCGATTCTTGGCTATACATTCCGAATGCTTGGCAAACACATTCTAGACACTCTCCAACATAAGTCTTATATAACACAAACACAATTAAGATTATGTAGTTGTGTTTGACAATTTTGGAAACAATGAACACACCTCAAGGTGTCTAATTTTTTTTTCTTAAGAAAAATTGTCACACACACACACACACACACACAAGCGCGCGGATATTGTTACAAACATGCAATGTCAATTTTACACAAACACACACACACACACACATATAGGACAAAAATATCATTGGAATTACAAAATAAGAAAGTAGTAACATGTATAACATAATAATTTTACCATATTCGCATAGTATCATCTTTTAAATGTAACTCAATAATATAAAAATTAAAAATTAATTAAAGTTCTATATATGTCTTCAATAAATATATATTAGATTGAACTTTAAATTTATATGTTACCTTGTCTATGTCCTACTTTTTAAAGATTTGACCTGTTAATGTAACCATGTGGTGTTGTGTCAGTGTCTCGTGTCCGTGTTTGGTGTCCATGTTTGTGCTAGTTAAGAAAGAAGGAGCAAATACAAGAAGGCCCACCTGATGATTGAGAAGATTAACATAATGAAAAAAGCAACTTACCATGAACTACAATCAGTCAATCAGTATGACTAAATGCAAAGAAATAAAGCGTTGATTGACAATCTTTCTAAAATTCTTTATTTTTCCTCTAGGTTGAAGAAGATGGATGTTAGGCACTGAATGTTATACATTTTAGCCCCTTTATTCGTATGTTTTGTTCACTTAATAATAGTTTATTTGTGATTTTACATTGTTTTACTGTTTTTATTTATTTCAGGGCTTTAATTGTAAAATCAGTCAAGACCAGTAATTCTGAGCTTTACAAGATGACTTTTCCTGGGACCGAGCAATGTTGAAGATCCAAGTTTAATTATACTTAGAAAATAGTCCAAAAGAAGCCATAAGTTGATAAGAATGGAAAGAAAAAGAAAAAGATAACTCTTTCTCCAAAAAGGAAACTTTCGCCAAAGTTGGTAACTTGAACCCCGTTTTGGTAATTTGGCTGTATCTCTCTCCTCAAGCGTCAAAACAACTAGATTCTCCATTGGGTTGATAGGAAATTCGAAGAGCTACAATTTTGTGTTTAACGAGCTTTCCCTAAAACAACTGTTTACCTTGTCAAAATTAGCCTAGAAGTCTGCATGAATTTTGGGAGTCTTTCTTCGACAGAATTTCTATGTATGTCTCCTATATGAAAAAGGGAACTATGGGGCTGATCTTTTATTATTTAAAGGGGGTCCTCTACAACATTGAAGGAGATGGAGAGCAGCGAGGCTGAGATCAGAGAGGAGAAGTATTCAGAAGAAAGAAGAGATTGATCCATGGTGGTGAAGATGTCTTCCTCAACTATGAAGAATTCCACTACAGTCATGCTTGGCTAAACGCTTTGCTAGGGTTGTGATGTAGCCCTAGCTTAGCACCCTGGTTTGATTGTATTTAATTATTGGAGAACAATTTTTATCATGCATAATTGTGTAATCTATAGGGTTTTTAATTGAATTTTCAATAAGAATCAGTTTTAGAGTTTTAATTCGATTACAAATATTTTTTTATCTTGTCTTAGATATTTTAATCTTGTAATTGAACACAACTCAGTCACTTCTTGTAGTTGTGAATGAGATGATTACACAATGGTTTTTATCTGAATATAGTGTTAGAGATTTGATTGATTATGCCTAGAAAAGATAGACCATGCTACATCCTAGAATAAAGTAGTTAGGTAGATGGTTTATACCAATCGAAGATAGTCCATGCTTAGCTTTAAATTATATTATTTTCTAGTTGAATTAATATGTGCTTGTAGCCATGATTAATTCCCCATGCATGTTATATGATATATCTCCAATAAATTGATGCAATTAACTAGTGGTGCGACGTTAGTGGTGAAGTCATACCCCTAGTTTTCTCTCTCTATTTTCTACATCATATTTGATCATCGTTCTTTAGTTTATTTTATTTTTCTACTTAGTTAATTTAGAATTAATCATCACAATTCGATTATCCTACTTTCAAGTTAATTTTGGAATTTAAGAAATCTGTTGACAAACTTAATTTACACAAGTCCTTTGGGTACGACACCCTTACAAGTAAACCCTAACTGCAAAGATTCATGCACTTGCGAGTGGTACATATAAATCTCACAACAAGTTTTTGGCGCCGTTGCCGGGGACTTGTTTTAGTTCTTGACAGATAATATTAAATTCTACAATTAATTTCAATTAGGATCTTAGTTTATGATTTTATTTTATTTTATTTTATTTATTTATTTTATTTTGATATTGTTTTCTTTCAATCATTGCAGGTGGCATTATATGCTTGGAAGACGTTCTTTGTCACTCCCTCAGCTTCCGTTAGACCCAGAAATTGAAAGAACTCTCAGAAACTTGAAGAAAGAAAAGATGGCAGATGATTTACCAATTGTAGAAGCAGTTAGCTGTTTAAACGATCACTACGAACCAGGTGCATATAACTCTTCATCTGCAGTTCGATATCCTCAAGTGAGGGCCCCTCACTACGAAATTAAGGCCAGTACTCTTCAGTTACTGCCTTCTTTTTATGGCCTATCAAAAGAGGATCCGTACTGGCACTTGGATGACTTTGCAAAAGTGTGCTAAACAATAAAAATCCAGAGTTTTGACGATGATGTGCTCAAGCTACACCTTTTCTCCTTTTCATTAAAGGACAAGGCGAATGACTGGTTTAATTCATTGCCAGCCAACACCATCACTACATGGGCTGAATTGCAACAAAAGTTTTTAAACAAGTACTTTCCCATGGTGAGAACTACTCAATATCGAGATGCTATTACTCGTTTTGCTCAAGGGCCTGGCGAGCCTTTTCATAAGGCTTGGGAAAGATTCAGAGATCTCCTTCAGAAGTGTCCTCATCATGACATGCCAAAATGGCAGCTTGTCAACTTCTTTCATAAGGGGCTTAATGAGGCACAAAGATATATGGTGGATACCTCTTGTGGTGGAAGTTTTATGTTGAAGAGTGTAGAGGAAGCATGGAAGCTTTTTGAAAATATATCTGATAATTCAACACAACATGTCTTACCTCCAGTAACAAGACCTCCTACCATACTGAGGAGAGCAGAAGGTGTGAATGAAGTAGGGATAAATCAAGGGCTAGTGAGCCAAATTGAGGCATTAACCAAGAAGGTTGATCAATTGATGACTTCACAGTCAAATTTTATTCCTCCTGCGACTAATGTTCAAGGCTTTGAAGTGTGTTCTTTCTGTTCCAGTCCAACTCACCATGTGTCCATTTGTCCAAGTGCATCTCAATATTCAAAAATTCCACAAGAGCAAGTTAATGCTATATATGGAAGGCCCGGAGGGAATAATATGTATTCAAACACTTACAATCCGGCTTGGAGAAACCATCCTAACTTCTCATGGAGAAATCCAGCCACAGGGACATCAGTTCCTCCACCTCAAGTACCTCAATTGCAAGGCAATTTTCAATCTCCAGTTCAGACTTCAAATCCTCAAGGATTCACTCCTATGAATGCCTTCAGTCAACCTCAACAATTCTTATAAATGCTCGAGGCAATGATGGCAAAGCAGTTAGAGCCAACTAATCAACTTGTGCAGTCTCATTCTCAATCCCTTGCCAAGTTAGAGACTCAAGTTGGCCAACTAGCTCAAGCCTTAAACAGAAGAGAGGATGGCAAGCTTCCTAGTCAGCCAGTAGCTAATCCAAGAGGTGTGCGTATAATTGATGACACTACTGGCCAAGAAGTTCACCATGAACAAGTACAAGTAATTACTACTCTGAGAAGTGGTAAGAGAGTTGAAAATAAGGTGGAAGAAGAGGAAGCAAAGAAGGATGAAAATTGGAAGAAAAGACTTGAATAGAAAAAGGAGCGGAATGAAAAAGCACAAGAAATACCTCCAACTGCTGAGTCATCTCCAGAACAAAGGCATGTTGTTGTGCCATTCCCTCAGAGACTACAAGAAACATCAAAGGCAGTAAAGCAAGCAAGCAAACTTCAGGACATAATGGAGATGTTCAAACAGTTGAAGATTAATCTCCCATTGCTTGATGCAATTCAGCAAATTCTAGCTTACGCCAAATTTTTGAAAGATATGTGTACTCAAAAGAGGCGTTCAAACAATCATATTCCTAAGAAGGTGTTACTAACTGAGCAAGTCAGTTCCATAATCCAGCATTGCACTGCTCCAAAATTCAAAGATCCAGGCGCTCCAACAATTTCATGCACAATAGGGAATCATCAAATAGAGCGAGCTCTCTTAGATTTGGGTGCCAGTGTAAACCTTCTTCCTTATTCGGTTTACTTGCAACTCGGATTAGGGGAATTAAAGTCTACCTCCATTATTCTCCAATTGGCAGATAGGTCAACTAAACAGCCTCGTGGTGTTATCGAAGATGTAATTATCAAAGTAGATAAATTCTACTTCCCAGTTGACTTTATTGTGCTAGATACCAAGCTAGTTCTGGAGCCAAGGAGGCACATTCCAGTGATCCTTGGTCGTCCTTTCCTTGCAACAGCAAATGCAAGCATAAATTGTAGGAATGGCGTCATGGACTTAACTTTTGGCAATATGAAGGTGCGCTTAAATATTTTCAATGCCAGTAATTGCCCTTCAGATGATAAGGATTGTTTTCTTGTCGATGCCATCGATGAATGTGTTGAAGAGATGACCCCATTTGCATTGACAAAAGATCCACTGGAAGCATGTCTATCTTACTTTGATGCCGAGTCATTTGATGTCGACAAAAGCATTGAAGAAGTAAATGTTATTCTTGATGGAGCCAATATGCATAACATTCCACCATGGAAAATTCTTATTGAGCCACTTCTACCATTGTCAAGTAAACCACCTACACCATATTTGAAGTCTCCACCAGAGCTAGAGCTGAAGTCGTTACCTTCTCATTTTGAAGTATGCATATGTTGGGCCAGAAAACACTCTTTCATTACATAATTCATTCTCGGATAAGCAGTTATTTCAACTTCAGAAGGAGACTCCACCATGGTATGCTGATATTATGAATTGAAAAGCATCAAGAAAGAAGACAGTTCGGCTGGATCGGAAAGATTGGTACATTGAAGATTCCGTGCCTACGAAAGGAGTTGAATCCGTCAATTTGATGGATCCCAACTACTCCACCTAATCATCCAAGTACCACGTCGCCTACCGACGTTAAATGTAGGAATTGTAGATAGGATTTTTCATTTATGTATTTTTTGTTTTCTCTTTTTCTTTTTAATTTTATCTTTTGTTTTAGTAGATTAGGAAGATTTAATGTGTTTAGTAGGATTTTTAGTTACTTGTCCAGGTTTACAAGTCGTGCTTGTTTCGAAGAAAAGAAAAAAACAAATTCCATGACATGCATGGAAAAAAAATTGATTGAAGTAGAGTGGAGCATTTTTTGGGTCCAAACATCGGCCAAACCGCCTATGGCCGTTTGCATCGCGTAGATCTCCAAAATGAAAAAAAAAAATCATCCAACACGGACCTCCAATGCCAAAGTTATGGCTGTTTGAAGTTTGCATTGAGAAAAAAAAAAAAATTGGACTACAAGCAGGTCTGGGCGACCATCGCCCGAATGGAATTTCCAGAGCAGCAAAGTAGTAGGTCCAGGCGATCAATCGACGGACCCATGGGCGACCATCGCCCGATAGGATTTATTTTTTTTCAGGCCACTAGCAGTGCCGGGCGCATGATCGCCAGACTTGGAGGTGACAGTTGCCAATGGCAACTTAGTGAGGATGAGGACAACAGCCGGTGGCGATGAACAGGCAGCAGCTTCAGCGTTGGGCGAATGATCGCCCGGCTAAAGAAATTTCCGACGGTAGCAGCGCCGGTGCAATCACAGACCTAGCTTCATGGTGACGCAGCAGCAGCCAGCACCAGAAAAAATTGTGGTGTTTCCAACGATCCCCATTGCAACGCCGGCGAATTGTTTCCGGCAGAAGCAACAGACCCGGCACTTGGGCGATCATTCTCCCAGCTTTCCAACGACCAAAAAAAAAAAAAAAAAAAACAAACCGCGAACAGGGTGGAAGAACGTCGTTTCAGATACTCATTGGGGGAGAAGAGCAGCTATTTAATTTCCATCTGGTTCTTATATGGAAAGCCAACTGTTTTGATCAACCTGTGCTGACGCCGTCGATCTGGTTCTTAGGCCAAAAGAGTTATGGTCTGGTGGGAAGGCAGGTATAGATGAACATGGATTCTCATAATAAATGAACCAGAAAGCTTTGAGGGGGTGCTTCTCAGCCCGGCAGTAATTAATGGAGCAACACCAGCCGGCCAATCCTTTTTTCCGGCGCACTCACAGATCCAGGCGACCATCACCCGGATGGGGGGACTTTCCGGCGATCCCCATAGCTGCCTAGCGACAACGCACAGGTACGGCAAAAAAAAAAAGAAAAAAAAAAAGAAAAAAAAAAAAAGAAGGGTTCGTAACTGGTTTGCTTGTTTTGGGCCGAATGTATCACTCCCATTATTAAATTTCATCATTCCATATTCCACATTATCCAATTCAACAACTTTCATTTCCGTTCATACTCCTTGTCTACACCAATCTATACATAACCCATCATTTATTTACCTCAAAGCCTTCAATCCGTACATTCCATATTACCATAATCCATCATCCTTACAAAATTCATAACCCAAACATCAATCTTCATAAATTTCTCTACACCACCTTTCCTACCCACATTTAAAATTCTTCACCATACCCACTTCCATTACCATTACTTGATTGCCCATATTGTTTGCACAAATTTGGAAAAAAAAAAATCAGAGATTCAAGGAAAAATCTCAAGAAATTGTGTGAGGTGACCCGACTCAGAGTTGACATTGAAGAAATCCATCAGAATCCAAGATCAATGATGGACATGTTGCGTGTGCTTATGATTCCTAACGAGCTTAATCCTGATGCTCCGCCGCCTCCATTTTAGCTATTATGCAGGTGCTTTCGTTCTATGTTTTTATTATTATTATTATTATTTTAGTTTTTATTTTTCTTGCTTTTAATTTTTGCCCAGTGAGGACACTGTCCAATTCAAGTTTGGGGACATAGCATCTACTTTAGTTGTATTTAAATACTCTAGTACTTAAAAATATTTCAAAAAAAAAAAATTTCTTTGGCATATTGACTTTAATTCAAGTATTTGAGAATTCTTGGGGGGATTAAGACACTTAAGTACTTTTTAAAATTCTTTTCTGAGATCGTCTTAAATCCCTAAGTTTTGTGCTTTATTTTATGTGGGTTCCATTATCTAGTGTAATAGGAATTTTAGTAATTGTCGGTCCCTGATGGATTTCACACGCACACTAGAATTTTATCTATGGGTATTTGTATTGTTAGTTGAATTTTGATGACTATGGATGGATATAAATTGGTAAACTTTGACGGTTATTACTATGGCAAAGACATTTCAGAAAAAAAAAAAAAAAAAAAAAAAAAAAAAAAAAAAAAAAAAGGTAAAAGAATGAAGAAGAAAAAAGAAGAAGAAACAAAAAAATATTTCGTAACCCTTTCATGGAGTAATCGGGGCTCATGTCTTATATACATAGAGTGTTCGCATGAAGAAATGGGGGTAAGGATAAAGAAAAAAAAAGAAGAAAAGAAAAAAATAATAATATTTTGCCATAGAAAATAATTTGAGAAGGGATCTGAGGAATTGAAGTTATAGAAGCTGGGTTCAATTGAAAAGACATTACTACATAGGTGATTTGCTAGTTCACAAATTTCACAACATTGGTGATTGATTTTGCTATTTTTCTTGTTATATAAGTGTGTGGGAAACATTGGGATGAAATATGAAAATAGGGACAAAGGAGTATAGTCAGATGATAATTTTTGAAAATACTTCCGTGTAGTCTTCCCCTTGATTATTATGATGATATGAGAATAAGTTAATTGTTAGAGGATTGAATTGTGTTGTATGTTTGTGGGTATCATCTCTAGAAACCTTCACGAGACTTCACTCGTCCACTAGAGGTAACCTAGGGGTTTAAAAGGCTTATTGCACATGCTAAATGCAATCGTGATTCCCACGAAAGCGGCATTTATGTTTTCTTTAGTTTTATTGCTATGGGACTAGCAATATGTAAGTTTGGGAGTGTGTTAGGCACTAAATGTTATACATTTTAGTCCCTTTATTCGTATGTTTTGTTCACTTAATAATAGTTTATTTGTGATTTTATATTGTTTTACTGTTTTTATTTATTTTAGGACTTTAATTGTAAAATCAGTCAAGACCAGTAATTTTGAGCTTTACAAGATGACTTTTTGTGGGACCGAGCAATATTGAAGATCCAAGTCTAATTATACTTAGAAAATAGTCCAAAAGAAGCCACAAGTTGATAAGAATGGAAAGAAAAAGAAAAAAAAATCTCTTTCTCCAAAAAGAAAACTTTCGTCAAAGTTGGTAACTTGAACCCTGTTTTGGTAATTTGGCTGTATCTCTCTCCTCAAGAGTCAAAACAGCTAAATTTCCACGCTGGTTGATAGGAAATTCGAAGAGCTACAATTTTGTGTTTCACGAGCTTTCCCT